GGGACATCCTCTTCAAATTACAGTCTTCTAGCTTTTCAGGTTCCCGAGTTAGCAACTTACCCGAGAAAAACTTTGGTGAGCCTGTGCGTGGGTTTATTTGTTAAATTGCCTAGACATAGTACTTCTACTGCAAGATTGCATAGCTGCATCAGTCACCAATAGCTGCTCTTCTAGTTTCCCCTCGAGCCTTATTCTCGTTAGCTAAGCAAAACATCCCTTTTATTAGCTATAAATTTAGGGAAGTAAAAAAAGAGTAACATTATTTCTAACCGGCGGCTACTTTGTTAAATTGTACGCACACATATGGCAATAAAAAAGTTTATTTTGCAATTACGATAGCAACAAATATAATTTCATCTTGCAATTAGCTAAAAGTACTGCCAAGCAATTTTGAGACATGAAGTTTAATTTTTAAACCGCATAACAAGGAGCGGTATTCAAGGAATGAAATGAGCGCCAACATCGCCAGCAGACTGACCACCAAGCGATCCAGTACTGGTCAAAGCAACTGGAAAAGTTTTCAGATGCCCAGTTGGAGAACCAGATTAAGTAGAAATAAATTGAGGCATAGGACAGTAAAAAGAGTGAATGTATTCTAGCGGGATAGAGAGGCGGATTAGAACTTGAATGTACAAGAATGGTAATTTTCAGATAAAAACGGCTTTATTTGCGAGGAATTGCTGTCGGCGTTCCTTCTTTTCTATTTCCTGTTGCTTCCTCTCCTGTTGCTCAGCTCGAATCTCTTCCTCAAATTTACTCAGTTTCGTCTGCTCTTCAATCTGGAAAGAAAACGATTTGAAAATTACTTGGAATAGCATTTTTTTTCCAAAAGCAATTTTCGCGAACATGCTGGAAATCTGCAGCTATGGTCTTGGCAGATATAGGAAATCGAGGGACTGCAAAGAGAACCTTAGCTTGGAAGAAATCGGCAGCAGCATGCACACCTTCCTTCGCGACGTCCACCGATTCAGCAAGTTTGTTAAATACCTCGGCACAAGACAGCTGGCCTGTGGCTGCATAGCGGAAGATAAGCATGAACTCTCGTGGACTGACTTTACCATCCTGGTCTTCGTCCACCTTAAAACTGTGGAACTTGTTACACATTAAACCAAAGAGGTAGTGTAGAGTTCCAAGGCTTTGGCAATACAGAAATAGTTTTCTTGGGCAAGGTTACCTGGTCAGATGCCCTCTGCGAGCATCCAAATTTCCCACATCCTTAATTTCCTTAACCGTCAAGAGACTATTACCTCAAAATTGTAAGATCGGCGCCCCAACGTATCTTCGCGCATATTTCCGGTGGCCGGTCTTCTGGGATTTCCCGAGGACGGAGAACAATAATGCATCGCTAATCAATGAGAGCAATCAAAAGCGGAATTTCAAAAGTAAACAAAAGTTGAATTTTCTCATTCTTTAAATAGAACCATGAAAGTAGCTTTCCTCAGGCTGTTTCGCAGAGAAATCACTTCTGATAGGAAACCAGAAGTGGATCTAATTTGTTTCGCTTAGAGCCCTGGTAAATACTGAAGGATACTAGTTCAGGCAGGAAATTTTGCAGGTTATGAATTCAAAAAGACGGGTCCCAATTCGAACAACTTGTTTCTTGTAAGCAAACACTGTAAACTGGATGTTTTAGCATATACAGAAGCTGCTGTTTCATCATTTCTTATGTCTCCCTTAAATTTTTTGCTTTCTCCTTCTCCCTTTTCCCGCCCTCAAGCCTTCCCGATTTTTTATTTATTCTGAATTTATTAACGTTTATCTACCTAGCCAAGCCCACACAACTAAAGCTATATTAGTAGTAACGCAAATATCAGCCAAAAAAAGCGCCTTCTGAATCCTGAATCTTTGATTTTCGCTAGCTATTCTCTGTAAAAAGCACAGTATGACCATTCTGCAAGCTCTTTGAATGGTCATCACTCTGGTCATTTATTTTCGAAGGCGAGCAGGAATATGAAGCTTTCAGTGGCCTTTGCTAGGCAATGCATCGAGGTATGCCCTTGAGGCCACAACTTGGCATAGAGAAGCGTATGATGCAAACGATTATTAATTTCATTATAAAAATCAATGAAAAGGAACTGACACTAGTATTCCTCGATAAATGACAATCAAGGTTGTTTTGGCAAATTCATCACTAGCTCAGTAAGGCTAGCTGCTTCTGCAGCCCAAAAACTCGACTGTAATTAAAATAATAATTGGCCAGCGCACTGGCTGCCCGTGCGAAGATGCGTTTTTTGCAGAGTTCCCCGCAGTTTTTGTCGCTACCGGCATCGGTCTGCTTCTAGCTGAAAGAATTTCAGACTGGCCGCCAGAACTGTCAGGAAACATCCCCTCAAAATTCC